TTTTTTCCCTACCGATTTCACCTGAATTTCTTCTTTAAGAATGAGGACTTGATTCTTTGATCGCAGAGGAAAATATTCTTCGATTCTTTGGTGTGTGCATATTCTTTAATCACAGTTTTGGCATTCCAGTAGTCTTGTGGATTCCTCCTGATTAAGTGCTTCGTTATTTTGAAGAAGAAAAAAAATAAATAAACCAATACATTTTGATGAAACTGAAATGCCCAAACTTACCATCATTCCTTGTTTGTAACAGGACATTTATGCCGATACCCTCTGAAAACCTTGATAATAAAACTCGTGATCTGATTCTAAAAACACACACAAAAAACCTTAGATATAGTAATTCACTAGTGGAATATACTTTGATATATATATAATTTTTTATTTTTTTTGGGAAATAGAACTCATTACTGGTTCTTGTCGAGCGAAAAAGAAAGCTTGTTCTCGTGTTCAACGTTAAATCTCACAGAGTTTTAAGATATATTTTTCCTTTTAGTTGTTCGTGTTATGTTCAAGAACCTATGCACTCTTTCTGTACCGTGCAACCTGCTGAATATTATTCTATTAAGTGCTATTATCTTCTTGGTCTCAAATTCAGTAAACATGATACAGCAGTGGTGGCCGCCCCGGATGGCACCATATACTTAGTGGAGATCAACTCAGGAAAAGTGCTATGGTCGTTTGCATCAGGCTCCGCGATTTATTCATCTTATCAGGCTGTCCACCATAATGAAGGTCAACGGAACAATGCCACCACATGGGCCGATGATTTTTTCATAGACATTGGAGAAGATTGGCAGCTGTATGTCAATGGAAATGGCTTGAAGAATGTGGTAAGCGAGCCTTCCGTGTAATTTTCACAAATAGGTGTTCTTATCACATGATTAGCTCTTCTTAATGGTGCAGTCTTTCTTTACATTATTGGATTTGATTCCTTCTGCTAATTTTTGTATAAATCAAAAGTCTATTGTTCGAGTGTTCATAAAAACTCAGGATTGCATGTGTTCTGGTTCTGTATTATTCATTCAATTATGAGGATTTAGTTGCCGAGGGGCTAGACTTCTGGTGTGCTAATTTAGATACTATTGTCGCCTTTTGAACAAATCTTGTCTCTTTTCCTAACGTTCGTACATTGGTTGTTATTCTCAGAAACTCCCAGTGAGTGTCGAAGAATTCCTAAATGGCACTCCTTTCATATCAGCTAGCGTGGAATTATGTTAGGCTCGAAGAAATCAACAATTTTCATTGTTGATGCCAAAACTGGAAAAGTAATTCATACCCTGTGTTCAGACACTGTTAGAGCAGTTGAGCATGAGCACAGTGATGAAAGTACCCTTGTCGCAGGGACAGATTTTGGAGGATGGGTTCCTCATAGTGCCACGAATTTGGATGGAATTGAAGAGCCACTTTATGTTACTAGGAAGGATTATGTTCTAAAGTTTACTAATATGAAGACAGGAAAGATTTTATGGTATCTAATGTTTGCTGAGATTGAAGCTTCCTATCAATGCAATGCAATTGAAAGTTTTCTGGGTAGTGTCTTTTATACAGAAGATCAAGTTAGCCTTAGAAAGAATCTTGATGCCAAGTTGCAGCTTCATTGTCCTCCAAAGCCTGTTGTCTACCGCATACGTGATCACAGTTCGTTCAAGTCTCTTTTCAAGACTAATAGTTTGCCAGATGCTTTTGCTGGGGACAAAGTGCTCTTGCTACCTGCACCTGACCTTGATCCTATGTTACAGCTGGTCGAAAAGATATTAGGTTTGCATCAAAGTAATGGAGGTGATATAGGGCTTGCTCTACCCACTCCTGAGAGTGAAGATTTTGGAGTCGTGGCTTTGCCTGAAGGAGATATTGGTCAAATTCATGAGATTGGAGGTTTTGCTAATTTAATAGGATCTCATTTCTGGTTTGTTGCCCTTTTTGGTGGTCTTATGCTCCTAATTGTTACTTTCTTTGTTAGTCACTTGGTAGTTAAAGAACAAGGTAAGTTAAACAAGGGAGTTGAGATGCCCAATATCCAAGCTTTAACAACCAGAAAGAAGAAACTTCGAAAACCAAGAACAAATAGCAAAACTGCTGAGAGAAAGAAAAAGAATGTTTCTCATGATCAAATGGTCAAAGACATCAATGTGCTCCCAGATTATGAAAGAGCAAAAAAATTCTTACAACTTGGGTTGCCTAATAATTCAGATGGTTTCATGGACGGACGCAACATTGGCAGATTGTTTGTCTCAACCACAGAAATTGCAAAGGGAAGCAACGGTACCGTCGTGCTTGAGGGAATTTATGATGGTCGTCCAGTTGCTGTTAAGCGCCTTGTACAGACCCATCACAACGTGGCATTTAAAGAGATTCAGAATCTCATTGCCTCTGATCACCATCCAAATATTGTGAGATGGTTTGGTGTGGAGTATGATCAAGATTTTGTCTATCTTGCTCTGGAACGTTGTGCCTGTAGCTTTTATGACCTGATATTATTGTCCTGCTCTAGCTCACAAAATCAAGAAACTTACCAGGATGGAGATTTTAACTGTGCTGGCAATGAATTTGTTCGACTAGGGTTGCTAGGAGATAACCATGCTCTCCAGTTATCGAAGTCGAATGGGTATCCTTCGCATCATTTGTTAAAATTAATGAGGTAAGTTCATAAACCTGTAGTAAACAATGGATAGATTTGCATCTTTGGAGCTTCCATATTGGGATTACCCTATCACTTCAGGGTTTCTGAATTTTTCAAAGTTATATGCAAGCCTGTTACGTGGTATTATCAAAACATCATGATTGCAGATTTTGGAGTGTTATACCACCATTCGATAGTTAGAATCTTGTTAGCGCCGGCATTTTTGAACATCGCTTCCTGGCTTCACACACCAACCCCCCCCCCTCCCTTTTTTTCTCCTCCCCACCTAAAAGAGAAAAAGAAAAAGACGTGATGAACTTTTCAGATGAAATTTTGGTTTAACAGTAATATTCATGAATACACTTTAAGGACGAATTCTAACATTTTTGTTCTTCATTCTCTTTTTCAGCATAGTTATAGTTTGGGTAGGATCGTATGCATACAACTGCAGCTAGCATTGGTGATTTTTCTCAACCAATGTCTTAGTTAACTTTCTTATAGTTCTTACCGTTATCAACTGATATGATTGCAATGAGTAGTTATTAAAATCCTTAACATATGCAAAATGTAAGATTCACCTTTTCATTATTCTATTCTATAACGCCAGGGATGTTGTTCGGGGCTTGCTCATTTGCATGAACTTGGTATTATTCATCGGGATTTAAAGCCTCAAAATGTTCTTGTAACAAAGGAAAGAGTTTTATGTGCCAAACTTTCAGATATGGGCATCAGCAAGCGCCTTTCTGGGGATATGTCTTCTTTAACAAAGCATGCAACTGGTTAGGGAAATCCTTTAAGCTCTATCATTAAGTTTTTTGGTTCCTGAAGTTTGTTTGTAAAATTTGGGTCGGTCTCAAAGTGTCTTGTGGAGTTCTATTTCTTATAAACAATGCATAAACTATTTGTGTAGGTTATGGGAGTTCAGGGTGGCAAGCACCTGAGCAACTTCTTCATGAACGTCAGACGCGAGCTGTAGATTTGTTCAGTCTAGGCTGTCTTCTCTTCTTTTGTATTACCGGTGGCAAACACCCATTTGGTGAAATCCTTGAACGTGATGTGAATATAGTTAATAACCAAAAAGACTTGTTCTTGATAGAAAACCTTCCTGAAGCAACAGATTTGATCGCTTCTCTCTTGCATTGCAACCCTGAGTTGAGGTATGCCATCATTTTATTTTTCGATGTCTTTTGTTTGAGACGTATAGTTGCACACAGAGACCAGCATGCATACGGTTGGATATTGATAGATTTTTGCTGCATAAAGTATAAGCTCTCTGTATAAGCTTCTCTATTCAAACAAGAGGAAGGCCCATTTCTCAAAGTTTCTCTCTTGTTTTTAGGCCAAAAGCAACTCAAGTAGCATGTCATCCTTTGTTTTGGGATTCAGAGATGCGACTTTCATTTCTTCGAGATGCCAGCGATAGGGTGGAATTGGAGGATAGGGAGAAGGAATCTGAACTGCTGAAAGCATTGGAAAGTATTGGAAATGTGGCTTTAGGTGGTAAATGGGATGAAAGGATGGATACTGCTTTTATCAGTGATATTGGACGTTACAGGCGGTACAAGTTTGATAGTGTTCGGGACTTGTTGCGTGTAATACGAAACAAGTTAAACCACTATAGAGAACTTCCAAAGGATATCCAGGGAATTCTTGGGCAAGTCCCTGAAGGATTTGATAATTACTTTTCTACACGATTCCCGAAACTTGTAATAGAGGTTTTTAAGGTGTTTCACTTGTATTGTGCAGAAGAGGAAGAAGCCTTTATCAACAAGTACTTTAAATGCGATTACATGTAAATGTAGCCTGTCTTTGTTGTAAACTGCTCAAGAGTCAATTGTATATGAAATCGTTTTGAAAAGTGGAATACGTTTTGAAAAGTGTTTCCTTGCGTAAAACTTTTTGTAATGTTTTGGTTGTTGAAAAATATGTCTGTGGTGAAAGCAAAATAAAACCCTTTTTTTTTAAAAAAAAAAAATCACATGTCCAGACACATTCTTGTTGCTAAGTTTGGGTTGTAAACGAGTAACGTTCGGTAAAAAAGGGAACTCAATTTTGTATGGTTTAAACAACTCAATACGAGTACAAGAAGCTCAACAGTCACTTAATTGCCTTGTTTAGTCTGTAATTTTTTATTAAATTTTTTTATATTTAATATTTTTAAATTATTTTTTTATTTGATATACGTGAAATCACTGCAATTCATTTTTCTGCACTACCTCCTAAAAACAGAAGAGGCATGGCCCTGTCTAATTTTTTTTTTTTTTTTTTAAAGTACTAGTCATCATAGATTTACAATTTTTCATACCCATCACGCATCTTAGTCAAAAAAGCCAGTCATTATGCCACCACATTGGGCACATTGTGCCCCACTACTAGCATGGCAAAAGCTCCTTTCCAGTTTCCTGTACCCATCAGTGCCAAAACAGGAATCTTTTTCTCGGTTTGAATTTTCGTAGCTGCTATTAAATCAGAAATCAGAGACTGATGATACGTACAAATTATGTATTTCCTGCAGAAATTGCTTTTATACAAGGGATCACCACTCCAGTCTCAGAACCGAACCTGAATTGAGTTTACAGCTCAACAGTCTCTTCTCATCAGACGCACCATAAATGGCTCTTTCATACTTGATCAAGAATGGTATTGCACTCCCAGCCCTGATCTTTCTCCTCCTACTGAACCCTTCTCTAGCGTCTCCGGTGTCGGTATTAACTACGGCACTCTAGGAAATAATCTGCCATCGCCAAAAAGAGTAGCTCAGCTGCTTCAGTCCACCCTCATTGATAAGGTCAAGATTTATGACACCAACCCTGATATTCTTGAAGCCTTCTCCAACACCGGCATTGATCTCATTGTTGCAGTGGAAAACTACCTCGTGTCAAACGTAAGTTCCAGTGCTTCTGCCGCCGATGAGTGGTTTTCCACTCGTATCGTGCCTTTCATTCCGGCCACATCCGTCATTGCCATTGCCGTGGGAAATGAGTATTTAACCACCGATGATGATAAGTTAGATCACAATGCTTTAGTCAAAGCCATGCAAAACTTGCACCAAGTTTTGCTCTCGCGAGGTTTGGACCGCAAAATTAAGGTCACGACACCTCATAGCATGGCGGTTCTTGCATCTTCATTTCCTCCCTCGGCTTCCACCTTCGCCACCACCCTCCTCCCCACAATGACGGCCATAGTGGGATTCTTAGCTGATACCGGTTCACCATTTATGGTGAATGCATATCCATATTTTGCATACAGGGATAATCCCGCTATGGTCAACCTGGAATATGCATTGCTAGGCAATTCCACTGGGGTACGTGACCCCAAGGGGTACAAGTACACCAACATGCTGGATGCACAGATTGATGCCGTTCGATCTGCCGTCGCCGCATTAGGCTTTGGCAATCGTTCGGTCGAAATTACTGTGTCTGAATCAGGATGGCCATCCAAGGGTGATGCAGGAGAGACTGCAGCTGCTCCTGATAACGCCAAAACTTACATCACTAGGCTGATCGAACGCGCTCAGTCAAATAAAGGAACTCCAATGAAGCCCAGGGATAGTATAGAGATCTTTGTTTTCGCTTTGTTCAACGAGAACAAGAAACAAGGGGGCGTCAGTGAGAGAAACTTTGGGATATTCAATTCGGATGGATCAAAAGTTTATGATGTAGACTTGAGCTGTAAATTTTGCAGCAGTAATGGTAACAAAATGGGGTTTGGGGAGAGAGTTTCAGGCATGGCAAGAGGACCATCGGTTTGGTGTGTGGCCAAACCACATGCGGATGAGAAGGTGGTTCAGGCCGTCTTAGATTTTTGCTGTGGCCCAGGAGGGGTGGACTGCAGAGAGATCTATGAGAAGGGAGATTGTTTCGAGCCTGATAAGGTCCATGCCCATGCATCCTATGCTATGAATGCATACTACCAGATGCACGGAAGAAACTATTGGAATTGCGATTTCAAGGGTACTGGACTTGTGACCTTCAGCGATCCAAGTAAGTTCTTTCATGAGATAAGATTTACTAAGTTGATCACCTACTATAATAAGCAATTCTACCATCAATCAAGGCCTACTACATCCGTTGTTCTGCTTGCTCTTTTAACTTGATGATAATAAGCTTGTTTTAATATCTAGGTATATATATGTAGATTTAAGAAGATCCTCATATCTTCCCTGGTTTTGTTGCATTGAATTTCATGTAACCTTCGAAGTTAATTAACTTAGCTTGTTTGCCATCTGTTGCGGTGATCAGGCTATGGCAAGTGCAGCTATTCCCAACAGTGAAAGAGCTACTTTCGAGAAGAAAAGGATGATGGTTTACAGCTCTCCTCGTCTGGTCTCCTAGTGATAATTTACACTCTTGAGTAGATGCGTGGTCCCGGTTACAAAATCCATTTGTATTTTTCGCAAACATATTATTATCAAATGGGTTATGTGAAAAGTTGTGGAAATTTTTGGTTGATTACTTGGCTTTCTTTAAAGGATCGAGACAAAGACGATCATCTGCACGGGGCTGCGCGTTGCTCCAGACAAAAGTTGCGCGTCTCCATAATCATAGGCTTTTTTCGTGGAAAAATTTCCACAGCCAGCCCCAGCAGCATTGACTATTTTCGCCGAGCAAATGCAAGCAGCCCAGTGCTTATAATCCGCGCAATTAAAATTGAAAAAGGCAACGGTGTATTAAATTTCTGTATATGCAAATGCACTTGGATAGAGTGAGCGAGTTCGTTCTTTCTTAACATCTACCTGTCAAAAACTCAGCTCAAAAAGAACTGATGAACAAATACTCTCGCATGTTTAATCTACTTCAAGTTACAAATCTCGTGGCATCAAAGGTTCAGGCTAGAAGAACATAAGATACAGCAGTGCTACTTAAAATTTTATATATTAGCGATGTTTCCATTCTTTAAACATGTAAAAATGCATTCAGGAACCGTCAGTCAGCTAAGAATGCTGATTTTGTACACTTATCAAAAGTAACATTACTGCTGACTTGCAACTGGAAAGTAGTAGTATTGTATTAGTAGTAATAACCAATAATCTATCCAAAGTTTACGTGAGCGCGGGATTGTGCATGCGCAGACTGTAGACAAGAATCAAATACGCTTCTAACAAACAGATAATTTTGGTTGCTTGAGATTATTGCCTTCCATCAGGATCCTTTCCAAAGTCTATTCCATCTGATAATGATGATATCTCTATTTTCCTCCTCTTGCTGTCTCTCCTGGATGGATCTACCTTCGCATCCATTAAAAAAATAACGTCTGAAGTCGCGAGCTTCCTGGGCCTTCATTTGCAATCTACCTGCAGGGCAGCTTCCCGAAATTTGTGCATAATCTGCCAGAAATATATTAACAGAGCGATGAAGCAAGTTATCCCGCATAGCAGAAAGAGACCCGAAAAGCTTTTTAGGTGTAGGCGGTCTGAATCAATCTCTGCATTATCCGAACTGCATGTGCTTTTTGTCAACCATTTGTCGTGTATCCGCTGGAGGTCTCCATTCTCAGATAGAGCTAATATGCAGTTGATAGGTCAACAGCCAAAGCAGAATCCCGTGGAAATGCCTAGTTAGTTAAACAAGCGATTATTTATTACTATTAGGGATGGAATCGAACACAGAGAAGCTGTCTTTGATTATTCACCACACCTTCAGAGTCATTGCATAACTAATCTTGCAACACGCATACAGTTGAAACAAAAACGTTTCACTTTTAGTAACATTTGACTTGTAGCAAATGCATTTAGCACAAAAGTTGTTCTTCCTGAAATCCAGATTTTGTATTTAACGTACTTCATTATCATTCAAAAGTTATCAAGTTGGCAACTACAAGAACTTTCTGGAATCAACTGTAGCTACAAGCAAGACCATCCACATCAAAATGCTCCTCAAAACATTTCAATTGCTCCTAAAAAGTTAAACTAGATCACTATCTTGAAGCGGATCAATTGAAGAAGCTAAGTACGTAAAAATCCTCGTACAACCAGATCATGCATGCATCATTTGCAGGCCCAACATAGACATGGTGCAAGTATTGCAAAGTAATACGAGTTTAACCATCATATAAAGCGAAAGCAAATCTATCAGAATATATCACACATGGAAAAACAAAACTCACAAAGCCCCAGCCGCTTTTGGTGAACTCCTGGCCTACAATTCTGAATTTGCATTGGCTTGATAAGAAAAGTTCTACATAAGGAAGTTCATCCACCACGGCAGCAACACCACCTTTTTTTGGACCACTTAGAAGTTTTGTTGCATACTCTTCTGGTGTCCCGAGTGAGACAAGCCTGGATTTAGGTATACCGATTTCCTCAATCAGATAATTTTCAGCAAAAGAACCCACTTGGTAGCCAATAGGTTCATCACTTTCTTTCAAGCTTTCAATTCCTTTAATAGGAGAATAGAGCTGCTGTACTGTAAGAATAGAGTTAAACTCGCAGTATAACTTGAGTTAATTATGAGAACCACAAATAGCCATATTATCAGCACCACACGTCCAAGTGCGCTCGCGGTACTCTCTCCTGAAACAAAGAAAGAATAAGAAGTTAAAAAGGTGCCAACAGGACATCTTGCCCATAAACATTAGATAGCTGAAAATGTAAAATTTTTCTTACTGTGGGCGAAAAATAAGGTTGACAGGCTGAACCTGCAAAAAGAACGAAGAATAGCTATCAAACAAGTCATGCCCACAATCAGGTTGTTTCAAGAAACATCGACATGAACACTGCACAATCCACTTATAACTGCATCAACCATTTAAACAATTCAAACTACATTTCCCCAACAAAGACGATTGGATTCCATTAACCTACTCAATCCATTACAATCATGTGTCGTTTGACCAACTAAGAGTTTTAAGTTCTTAATGTCATTTCCTTAGATGTCAACTAGGATTTTTAACATACTGACATCTGGCCTTCAAAATTTTCAATTCTGAAACTCACCATAGGATGGTTATTAGTTGCTGCTTTGGTGGTCCACGGAACTCATCATTAGTTCGGTGTTCCAATATCCAAACAACTATGCCAACCAAAAGAAAGAAAGCAGCAGTAACTCCCCACATCAATCCTGAAAAGGGTCTGAGGAAAGCCCATGCACCAGTATTTAACTTCCTAAATGGGGCCACTACAACAAGTCCCGATGAAACATAAGGCTGGGTGAAATCTACAGTCTTTGTCCTATTGGTGACAATTGTAATGTCACCAACAGCACCATCAAACACCTGTAAAAGCAAAACAAAGTTCAGCTATAACAAATTAACTTCTCGAACTTCGCTAGTACCCTTGTCTAATTGATACCACAATTATCATTTTCTTCAACTTTGCACATACCCCTGCACTTATCAGCTCCACAAGCTCACTATAGCTAGGGTTTTCATGGCCATCTCCAAAGGCGATGAACTGATATGGAATAGCATATGGCAACAAGTTAACAGCAGCTGTAAAGACATCTATGCAGAATCCTTTAAAAGTGCTAGTCCCTGGCACTTGTGACACAAATTCTCGATAACCTACCCGTCTGGGTACTGCAATCTTTAATTGCTTTCCATTGTTTGGGAAAACCCATCCACGAGGCTTTATTACCGTCTCTCCTGGCCAAACTACACCAAATAACTGTTGATTTGCACTTGAACGATTTGGTGGCCTTGAATAAAGAGTCTCAGGAGGCACAGTGGATAATCCAGAATAGTTAGACCAATGACCAATCACTCTAAAACCAGTTCCAATGACATTTATAATGTCATACGCTGGAAAAACAAGAGATCTATCAGAATTAAACTTGACAGGCCCCGTCAAACCAACAAAATTACTCTCCAAAATCTTTTTCAACAAAAGAGGCCCTCCATCAAAAATTTTCAGCTCTTCAAGGTGCAGAGTACTCCCCTGAACAAACCGTAGATTAGGATCACTGGAAAATGAGATTCTTCCGCCCTCCTCAAAGAATGAATTTATGGCATGAGCAACCAACCAAACGGTATCATAAGCATAAAGACCATAGGAATGCAGACCTAATGAACCACCGTTGAGTTTATTCCACCTTGACAAAAATGATCTTTTCTATCAGAATCAGGAGTATGCTGACGTAAAACAAGAACTCCTTGCATGGAGTCCATATTCTCCAGAGGAAGTGGGGAAGAGGAATCCAACACAGAAGAAAGCCAATCTGTAGCTATCCAAACATAGCCATCACCCATCATTCCAAGATACTGTGCCACAGAAAATACCATGAACCCAACATCAGGATAAGCATGTAGAACTATAACCCGAGACTCCATAACCGCAACCTTTATCAAAATGTCTATTATGTCAGTCCTATTAACACCAGGTGCTGGTGGAATCCCTGCTTTGTATGAGATTCTACCGCGCCTAGCTGCGATTGCATCATCTAATGCAGACACACCATTCCTTCCATAATCATCATCTAGGAAAACCACAATTACATCTTTCCAACCGTAATAGTCTACCATTTCAGCTATTGCAGTCATCTGGTAAGAATCACTCCGCGTAGTCCTAACAAAATAAGGAAACTGAAGCGAAGAAAGAGTGGGGTCTGTAGCAGCAAACGACAAGAGAGGTACTTGAAGTTCATTTGCAACATGCGATATGGTGTGTGCCACTACAGAAGATTGTGGCCCAATAACAGCAACAGTTTCCGTCTCCATGAGCTGCAAAGCTGTAATGAAACCAACAGTCTTCAAATTTACCGCACAGAAGAATTGACCAACAAAAGGAATTTCTACCATTTTTCCAGGAAATTAAGAAACTGGGACTATATGTTCATATCAACTTGATGAAAAAGCCGCAATTAGACGAAGTTAAGCTTAGCCTTCCAGAAATTCATCAATAGCACAAGAATTGAAAAGGGGTTTTTTTTTTTCCAAACATTTTTTTAAAAAAAATTGAAAAGGGTTAAAATACCAACAAAAAGCTCTGTTCTTTTTGCCCAAAGTTTCCTAAGCAAATACAAATAACGAATATCCGACAAGAAACACTTGAGAAAGATGATTTTTTTTTTTTTGGGAAAAAAAAAATTTACCTCCAACCATGCCAACAAATCCACTGCAATTGGAAGTTTGCATTTTGACAACAAGTTTGGTCCCTGGGAGGAGAGTGGAGTTGGAGTTGACGTCTTTAACAGCCTCCTGAATTGCAATCTTAGCAACTCTGCCAATGGTGGAGTCAAATGAGAAAATAGCTCCAACATTCACTACAGCTGGTCTTGTTGAAGAAACATTCCCGGTTAACCCGTGTGAGGAGAAAACTCCAGATGAGAGAAACCATAACACTAGTGGAAAATGCCGAATCGCATTCATTTTGGATGAACGATGCACGGCTAAGTTGGCAGGCCCAGAAAAGATTCTTTGCAAAATTGATTCATAGGCGGCTGCAAGATTATTGCCTGAAACAATATATAAGCAATTTAACACAGCGACGGTATGTGTGTCAAAAATTATAGGAACCTATACAGATATACAAGTGGTGTACAACAGAGAAGAAGGACCTCAAGGAAAGCACACACTAAGAGAAAAGAAGAAACTCCGGTGACCTGCATGAGCCAGGAAGCAACAGAAAAGCAAAGGGAAAAGGGAAAAATTAGTTGCATAGATAAGAGAAACTAGAATCAGGTGCCATGCTTTAAGTCATGACCTTTGAATCAAGAAATGAGAGTCTGTCAAAGTATCAGGAATAAGTACGCTTTTCCACTTGTAATGTGCACTGTTGGTATGGAGGAATCGCATGATCTGCTGGGATGACCAGCCAGATTTACATATGCGCAAGTAATTAAGGAATGAGAAAGGCCATAGTGGGCTCTAAGCAGGTGGAGTAAAAAACTAGAAGAATAATACCTGCTGCTACAATTACACTGCACGCTACCAGTTGCAGTCGTATCTGAATGAAGGGAAGGGAAGACGATAAGGCACTCTCTAAGGCTAAGGGGAACCCAATACATACTGCACTATTTCCACGCTGTTGCACTGCACAATGTGGGTCAGGTCACGCGGGTATCTTAGGGACTGACTTTGGTCTTTGGGAGGAGGCAGCTTCAAAACCCACTCCCCTTTGACAGTAGGTAATAGGTATTATTACGTTTTTTGGAAAAAAAAATTTTCATTTAAAATATTAGTGAGAGCTCTCATAATCCCCTAATTAGTCGAATTATTATTAGTAATCAAATGTAAAATGAAAGAAATTATTGATCAAACTAAAAAATGAGGAGAGCTGCTTCAAAGTCATTATTATTTGTTATTGGTGTGTCTTTATATTTTTATTAAAGAAAATTACGAGAAAGGGAAGCAAAAGGTGGATGGTTTTGGTTCTTCTGGTTCTTTTTTTTTTTTTTTTTGTCTGTAACAATAATGATGAAGATATTTGTGAAAGGCATGCAAGGAACTGTGGGTTTTGATAAGAAGAAATTGAAGCTGAGTTGGAGGGAATCAAACTGTGGGAATTTCTGATGGAACATTTTTTTGTAATGGCGCCGCCCGCAGTGGCAGTAGCCAGTAGGTGGTTTGCATAATTAGTTGGTGGAACACTACACTATTTATTTTGTTGAATGAATCTGACTTGAGAGGTACACGGAACTATGGGCAAAGCTCACGTCACGTGCTGCAATGCAACCACTCTTTTCTATTTCTCCTTTTTTTTTTTTTTTTTTTTGGGTTGGGATTCGACAAGGGAAAAGAATAAAGGGAGTTATTTCTGCCGACCATTGTACAGAGTCAATTAATTATTTTATTCAGTCTGGATTCGAGACTTTCCATTCACTCACATGACGTTTATGTTTTTCTGGTACATTCAAAGGATTGAACCAAACTTAGAGTATTCTATTTGGGACCATATGGCGTGGAAAATTGAAGTGTGGAAAAGTGAAAAAGAAAAATTAAAAAATTATTTTTAGTTACATTTGGTTACCAGTAAAGATTGTGAGGAATAATGAGAAGTTAGTGGTAATTGTTGAGTTTTTCTTAATCATACAAATTCTACTGGACACAAGATGCAAGAAAAGTTTCAGCTCTCTTACTAATAAAACGAGCATACGTTACAGAATTCGCTTTTTTTTTTTTTACAATAATAACATTTGTATAACATACTCTAATCTAGTATGTATAAGGGAGGGGAAGCCGATGGGATTTTCCCGTCGGAGGAAACCACAATTAAGTGGCAAGGCGAGAGGTCAAGACTTAAATATCTTGGTGGTACTTGGGCTGTTGGCGTACAGAATCTGCCGTTTACAGCCCCCAAACTACGCCGTTTACAGCCCCCCCCTAGTCTGCTGCTATAAGACTCAGAGAAGAAACGACTGCTAAAGAGTAATCTGCAAACTTCCTCTGTATCATCATGTGTCCAGTTTCTTTCTGAAAACAAACTCAATAAGTACCATTTGATCCCCCGGGTAAAAAAAAAAGAACACCATAAATACTGATTTGCTTGCATGATCAACACATTTTTCAATTATCTTTTTATCTCACATATATCATATCAAAAAAGTGCTACAGTAATTTTTTTACAAATTTATCTCAAATAATTTACTATCCAAACACACTCACTAGTAGTTCCTTAAAAGATGCTAGTAGGAAAAAAAAATATATTTTTTGGGTATCTTTTGTAGTAGACGCAGGAACCAAAGTTAAGATTTTGGATCTGTAATGGGTAGAGTTCTTCTGGTCGCTTTGTGTAACAAGTTGTGTTTTGATTTAAGAAGGAGGGCCCAAGAACATCATGTCGGCCCATTGTATAAGTTCTGGCCTGCAATTCTGATAACGGCCCGTCCTGAATGATAGGATGCGAGACAATGGATACAAATGGAAGTAAGGCCACAATTAATTTCGGCGGACAATTTTAGTTTACCACAAATATTTAGTTACCACATTTGTATCTTCAACTTTTATTTTTTTCACCTAGGGTATGCTTTTTTTTTTTTATCTCAAAAGATTTTAAATCAGACTACTTTTGTTGGTTTTGGAAGAGATAGAAGAAGATGAAAAAAATTTTACACCACCCACCTCCTCCCCCACTCCCTTCTCTCTCCCCTCCCTTCCCCTAACCCCAAACTCCTCTCCCACTCGTGGTGATGGCTGCGACTTTAACCACCACTCTAGCCACGACCTTATTGGTCGACACCATAAAGGTTGCAAGTAGAAGCCATGAGTCATGGCTTTTGGGTGCGACCACAAACCAAAAAGGTTGCGATTAGTGGAGAGGAGGGAGGGTCATGGGTGTGGGGGTGGTGGCAGTAGTGGTGGAGAGTGATAGGTGATGGTATATATATATATATATACATATTTTGTATATTTGAGTTGTTTTTATATATTGTATGGATGTAGTGTTTTTGAAATTATTTTTGTTTATGTATTATTATAACATTGTATATAAAAATTTTGTTTTAAAAAATTAAAGAATCCAAACAAAGCCGATATTAGCTTTATTTTGAAAGCATAAATAGTAGTATTTCAGTAAATTATTCTTTACTAGATAACTTCCCTATCCATTTTACTTTAAGATGATATAATAATAGGGCTACTTTATAAGGCTGTGAAGAAAAGTTGCAAACCCCCAAAAAAAAAAAAAGAAAGGAGTATTGCCTATATATAGTACTAATACCACAAAAAAAAAGGAGGTCATTTTTCCAAAAAGCAGCAAGTGGACTGACTGGAGCAGCATCTTCCTTGCTAGTTGCTACCGATGGGAATTTGAAAGGGATGAAAAGGTGCTAAGGAAGGAGCGAAGCAGCCAAGGAAGCATTACCCTTTCATCTTAGCCGAAACCCAACTCTTTCCAATAAGAAACAGCCACCTGTAATGTGTTCTTCGAGAATCCCATGTACATGTCTCTTAACGGCCGTCAACGACCTACACAAATCGTAGTCCAATTACCGCCCCCCCACCACCCCCCCACCCCCCCCCCCCCAAAAAATCCCAAAAAAAAAGCACCCCCGTTCTGGCTTTTTACTCCCACCGTTAATTCGGCCAATAGGACCAATACACTACAACGCCAATGGCCGCGATCCGCCGCCCAGCCCTGTCATAGTTTCATTCCAAAGGCACCACTCCCCCATCTCTCCCATCAACACCAACACCCCCGCAACGCGCCACAGCTCTTTGCCCAAAAAAAAAAAAAAAAGAGGGGGGAGTGAAAAACCAGGTCATCCGGTCAACTATATTGGCCACCACTCAGTCTCCACCACGTGTCAGTAAATCATGCTCATCGTCTACGCTTAGGTACCTTCCATTTCCGGTTACCCACCGCATTGAAAAACTTTTAGCCATTCTTCTTCTTCTTCTTCTTTATAATTTATATACTCTCTCTCTCTCAATCGAAATGCCTTTTTTGGGGTCTCTGATTTATGGGTTTTGTTTCCTTTTTCTCCTTTAGTTTTGATCAATGCCTGAATTTGAGCCCAAAAATTAAAATTAAAAAACGGCGAACAAAAACTTTCCCAATTTTTTTTTTTATCATCTTTCGGAATTACTGTTCCCTGTATTCCTTTTGGAATCTTGATTTATTTATCCTGTCCAGATTTGGAGGGGTCAAGACGGTGAATTGTTTGATTTTATTGCAATTTTTTTGGTGAATTTAGTTAACTGTTGGTTTCTTAGGTGGCTTTCTGCGGTTGCTAAAAATATCATTCGGTTGCATTCATTTTTCATTTTTTCTGCTGAGAAAAAAGAAGTTGCTTTCGATTTCAGTCCTGGGGAAGGGGAGGAGAAGTTATGAGATCTTATTTTGATCTTATGTTTGGATCAGTTTGGGCTTTTATTGCTAATTTCCTATTTGGAGTCAGCCAAAAGGATTAGAGTAAGGTTCTTGATTGAGTTTGCTGGGATATGGTTGAGGAGTTGACGAATGCTGGGTGCTGCCGAATTGATGTAGGTGTTTCATTTTGATTATATCTTCCGCATTTTTTCAGACAATCAACCTCAGTCTTCCGAAGATTAAGGCTTTTTGTATGGCGCAGCCGCTATAACTGATCGAAGTTGGTGTTATTTTCATAAATAACAAAAGATTTGGTTGATTTGCTTCTCCGCCATTCTGAATCTAAGGAGTTGTAGTTTAGAGTGCTGATTTTCTGTGGAGAAGGATATTCCGAGATATCGGTATCTTCTGAGGAAGGAACTTAGTTGATGATCTGGAATATGGCAGCTGGTACTGATTGTCCGCCGCCATTCACTGTATTAGACAGTGGCTATATTAAAGAGAGTGTGCCTCAAGTAGAGGATGAACTATTGGAGAGTTATGATGACTTGAAAGAGACACCAAATGAACTGTTGGAGGGTTCTGATGACTTGAAACAGACACCAAATGGTAAACCTCCGCGACATTCTGTAAGCTCTGCTACGTTGCTACAGCCAAGTGATGTTGTAAGTAAACTTCCTCTTATCTAAGTTTCACTCTGTACTGTTGTTGCTGGGGTCGTTTACTTTCTTACAATGCTAGTTTCAGGGATTCAGGCTCCTACTGCTATTCATAATTTTTGTTGAAGTGATTGTATCTGAGTTGAATAGATTTCTTTGACACTCACGTTACGTGCACACCATTGTTTAAAATGCATTCCTGAAGTTGTGCTTCTTATTTATGTCGTTATGCGACATGCGCAAAAGGTCCAATGTCATAGGGAGAGGTAATATATTTTGTGGACAAATTTTGACAGCACACAAGAAACTGAGTGATGTGGCTATTAGATTCAATCTCAAGGCTTGTTCATGAGATTGTTGTCATGAAATCATTTGTCATTGATCTCCTCTTACCGAAGAAGTTATGATAATGTGATGAAATAAATGCTATATTCTCTGATAGAGTAGTAGTTTGATTTAGTAAATGTCATCTTAACTTAGAAGTCAACATGTTTTGAGCTAATTCTATCTTGTTCAGTGTAATCTTCTCTGGCAGAGGGAGTTCTAGAAGTGAAAGCTTGTAATGCAAAATAACTCATGAATGTTCTCCATATTTTTTCTTTTCTTTCTAGTTGAGTATTATCTATCCTTTCATGAACAAAGTGTGCAAGCGTTGGTTATAAGAAGGGGGAAAAATCAGACTTTAAACATCATGAGATCACTCATTGTAGTAGTTGCTAGCATAGGAAAGAGTGAAACTTTGGTAATTCAAAGCACATACACCTTAAATTTACTGCATCTGACTTCATTCCTTTCTTATTGAAAATGCATCTGAGAAAGTAACAGAGTCAAATTCCAAGTAATGGCTTGGTTTCTCCTACCCTTGCCTTCGCTATATCCATGAATATTTAGTATCTGAAGTGCGCTATGCTTGACTATTCATTTTTACCTTGTCAGGATTTTGATCTGACAGTGTGTGGACAGAAGTCACCATCTGATGGAAAATCAAGCTTCCTACCAATTTTTCGGTCAGGGTGCTGTGCTGAAAAAGGGCCCAAGCAATATATGGAGGACGAACATATATGTATAGATAATCTATTTGAACATTTAGGTGAAACTGCAGGTTTCCCTTCTCCTGGAGCTTTCTATGGGGTGTGTAACCAATTCAAAAATAATCGTTGCTTGACTACAGTTATTTTTTAATGCGGTAGTTGTTAAATGGTGTTGATTGAAAGTCAGTAGTTCTTGATTCACCACCAGCTGACATGATTTGACACTCGTCTGTGTTTCTTGTTATTTTTGAAAGTCTGTTAATGACATTCTGATTATCAGCTTTTGGAGATTAGACAAAAAGAAATTGGATGTTGCATCTCTGGGAGGGGATACAAGCTAGGATGCTCACAAAGAAATGAGTAAACACTGAGAAGAATGGCCGTGTTTGCAATGTTTAAGAAAGTAATTCTGGCATATCTTAGGAACATCTTTTGACATTTTGAAAGATCACCTTGTGTATTAGTTCCCAAAGTTTTTAGAGGAATTTTCTTCTTTCTTGGTTTTTTATCCAGCTTCCACAGAGTCCTCTTCTCCCCCTTCTTTTTTAAACTACTAATATAGTTAATAACAGATTGTTTGTAATTTTATGTTCTTGCAAACTTATTCCTTTGTTGTGTTAATTTTTGAGGTTGTGCCGCAGGTTTTTGATGGTCATGGTGGTACAGATGCTGCAATATTTATTAGAAAGAATATTCTCAAGTTCATAGTCGATGATTCTTCTTTTCCATTGTTCTTGGAGAAGGCAATTAAGAACGCTTTTCTAAAAGCTGATTATGCCTTTGCTGATGATAGTATTCTGGACATCTCCTCTGGCACCACAGCCCTGACTGCATTGATATCTGGAAGGTAGGTTAGCACCTTTAGTTCAAGTCTTTCCTTTGCCCACTTTAAATTAGTTTACTGAACAGTTTAGAGTTTCTGCCACCTGCGGTTGAAGTGCATTCATTCATCAAGAATGAGAAAATTACGCTTTGACTTAAATGAACTAAATATAGCAGGATTGGACACAAGGAGAATTCAGGAACTTAGACTGATGCAGAAAATTTTTCATGTTGAGTAGTTGTTTCAGCCTATCTTGCCCTTTGCTATTCTGAAGGCACCATTAATATGTAGATAAAAGAGGTAGAGAGAAACATAGGAGAGGGCTTCTTATGCAGCATGTGCATGACTATATAATATTGGGGTAAATGTGTGGCAATCCCTGCTAGTTAAAGGTAGGTATACCTATAACAAGTCTCTTGTTGGTTGGTTGATTTTAGGCCGTATGTAGAATGTTGAAATACAGTTGGACAGTTTGCTCAGTACATCTATAAAGAAGTTGGTCATTGTAATCATTTTTGGGAATGGTTTGTTGTTCATGGCTTGCAAAATGGACCAATTCAAAATAAATTAATTGTACTTATCTACTCAAGATACAAATGGAGCTGCTTGAATGAAATGTGCTTAGATTAGATCACCCTCAGCACCTCTAAAACTGGAACTGTTACTGATGGGAGGTTATAGGATGCCCAAACCGGATTCAACTTAATACACTATGACTTATTGTTGCTGAAAGTCTTGTCTTTTTCTTTGGAGTGCATAAGCTAACCAGCCCAAACCTCTTTGCCTTGCTAGACTTCAACCACTTTCAGACCCTTGTGTGCAGTTCGTAGGTCTGTAGTGGTTCATATTACCATGTGGTGCATTGACTTCCAGCCAACAATTTTGAAGTATAGAAACTAGTCAGTACAAGCTCTTGGGGTTAAAGGCTTCTCGCTTTTCCGGGAATGCCATTTTCCTTTGAATTACTGACTTTTATTTGCATGGTTTGCCTAAGCTTGTGGTTTGAATAATCTGGAAGATAGGCTAGAGTTCCATGTCTTCAGTTTGACGTTGAATTTGCTGAATTGTTTCTTCTACTTGTTATGAGTTTCCACATCTGTTATGAGTTAATAATGAAAAATTTAGTATAGTTCCTTTATATGTCACTCATCATGTTAGGCAGTTTTTATGGCTTTGCAACACTAAAGAAATCATAGCTGTTCATTCATGCGTTCCTATTTCTTTAGGAATTTTTTTCCTAGTTTTCCTTTTTCGTATACTTATTGCATTTTATATGCCGGAGAAAATGAGAGTTTTAGCGTTTATTTTTTTTTTTTTGTGAGTGTGAGAAAATAGGGGGTTTTCGTTGATAAACAAAGGCGTAATTTTTTCCCCCTCTTCTTTTGTTATTTTTCCTCGATAATCTTTTTTAAGCTTTTTGTTAAGTGGCATTGGCTTAAGCAGCCACAATCTTTGCAGTACTACAGTCCAATGCTCCTGCGGGAGCTTTTGTGCCTGATATACTCAAAGGTAGGATGAGGCATTACCCTAGCCTTATCAAGGATTTGGCTCACTGATAATATAATACTTGATGATTTTGGATTGGAAGAAATTTACACTCTTTTTAATTTTTTTTGGGGGTCCTGCTGTTTCCACCTTCACTGTCAATTATTTTCTCACACAGCTGTTAGATCCCCAAAAAGAATCACTTTAGCATTATAGCCTTGTGTGTGAGAGACAGTTTAGATTGCATAGTTATATTGAGTGGTAATTTATTAGAGGTCGGTTCACAATCAGTAGTAACTGTTGTGCTTAAGTTTCTCCAGAGTTGAATCCCTCTGAAAATACTTAATGTTATATAGATAATTTTAATTCCTTGTTTATCTAGCTTTTGGATTATTCCTGACGGGTTTTCCTTTCAGAACAATGGTAGTCGCAAATGCAGGTGATTGTCGTGCTGTGCTGGGGAAACGAGGTAGAGCTATTGAGCTGTCAAAAGACCACAAACCAAACTGTACATCTGAAAGAATTCGAATAGAGAAACTTGGAGGTGCCGTGTATGATGGGTACCTAAATGGCCAATTATCTGTGGCACGTGCAATTGGAGACTGGCACATGAAGGTTCCTAAAGGTTCATCTTGCCCTCTAAGTGCAGAGCCAGAGTTGCAGGAGATTCTTTTAAGTGAGGATGATGAGTTCCTCATTATGGGATGCGATGGTCTTTGGGATGTCATGAGCAGTCAGTGTGCCGTTACAATAGTAAGGAAGGAACTAATGATTCACAATGATCCTGAAAGATGTTCAAGAGAATTGGTTAGAGAAGCACTGAAGAGGAATACCTGTGATAATCTGACGGTCATTGTGGTTTGCTTTTCACCAGATCCTCCGCCTAGAATAGAACTGGCCCCAACTCGGGTCCGAAGGAGCATATCAGCAGAAGGACTGAATCTTCTTAAAGGTGTATTGGAATTGTAATTTGTAAGAATTGTAATGTACAAGGATAACCGAAGGGAACATTGGACTGGTGAAAAGAGTTGGGTGAGGTAAAGGAGGACATCTTAATCGTGGGATATTTTACATCCATCGCCGGACTGGTGAAAAGAGTTGGGTGAGGTAAAGGAGGGCATCTTGATGGATGGGGATATTTTACATCCCTAGCTGCTGCTGCTGCTGTTTCATTTGCCTTGATGTAATTTTGGATCCTTTGTACTGCAGATGTATGTGTTGTACCATTAGGATGATTTGTCATTTGAATTCCGGTGGCACCCAAAACTTCCCCTGATGTACATAAGTAAGAAGATTAGTCACTGTTGGCAATGAAGTCTGGATCAGTTATTCACTTTAGGAGTAAATGATCAATTTTCATCTGCGTGTTGAAGCATCTCGAGTGATACATAGGAGTAAATGAAAAGTGTGTTGCAGATCTAAATCTAATTAGTAGTAGTGTCTCTCCAATTGGAGTTGTTGAGACTATTCAGCCAGCCAGCCATGACTTCCTCAGTCAGTCCTCTCGGCCTGTTCCAAAAGTAAGAAGAGTAAAAGAGAGGCCAAGATTGCAGTCTTGTTCTTTTGTTTACCTCTCCTGTCCTGCCCTGTCATCTTAATTCATTCCCAAGGGAAAGGTGAAACTGCAAGTAAAGTGAGTGGGGGGTGGTATTGGTAGGAAGGAACTCTTTGCTCCTTTTTATCTTTTGGTCTGAATTCTGAGACGAACGAGAGAGCAAGCAAGGTAAGTAGGCTTAATCGACACGAAGTAAGCAGACTGCGCATGCTACCGTTAGTCTGATGACCCAAAGTGAATGTGAATTTCACTGCCCAAATACTAACCACTAGTACGTTAAGCTGGATTTTTTTTGTTTTTTGGGTCAAAACACAGAGAGTATCTCGACTTTTGCTAGACTAATCTCCCTGCGCCTGTGAACTCCGCTCCTCAAAGATGCACAGGCGGTAAGAGAGGTGGCTCAAACACACTACCTCAGGACTCAACTGAGCTACCTCGAAACCATCCGAGCCAACTCCAAGGGGCACGTTAAGCTGGATTAGTTACAACTATTATCGCGGCAAACATTTTATTAATTGATATGATTCTTGAAGCCACTCCTGAGCAGTAACACAGAAAAGCCAATTTCCTTGCGACTCACAAAGATTTAACGCTAGTTCTTCTGGGGTGGCATGTCATGTAAATTGTAATGTAGTGTAATCCAATCAGAAAAACCTCCCCTTTGACCATAAGGAGAACAACCACAGCGAGTGGCTGAATGCTGATGGGTCCTTCTCCATCCATCATATAGTATGTTAATTCACTCAAAAACTCCTCCCGTCCGTCTGAATTCTGATTCTCCAACCCAAAGTAAACCAACCAACCAACCAAACCTACCTCCTTCACTGCCGCGCCTTCCGCCTTATCATGCAACCTACACGTGGATCCCTGCATGTCTGCTCATCATAAAATTATTAGTAATAAATCTCTTCCACCATTATCAAATCTACATTCGACAGAGCATAGTACTGACACCACACCCTAACTCTGCGTAAGTTAAATCTTCCGTTTCTCATACATACATATACATATATATATATATATTTATATTTATATTTATATTTTTTGTACATGGGTACAAATGGATATACAAAAAAAAAAAAAAAAATTAAGAATACCCATACGTATGTATGTATAAACCATTCAATGAAAATGAAAGCGTTAGATTTTAAACCTCACCATTCCTTATTTATTACACAACTTGCCTTTCCCATTGATTAGCTCTCAAAGTTCATTTTACTTTCATTATTACCATCCCATCCCATGGAGGTTTGGTAAATGGTAAAATACCTACACTGACCCTCTAATAACACATTTTATAACTTTAGCAGCATTCAAGACAAGTGCATAACGTATTAACTTTGGAAGAAGATCAAACTGGTTTCATTTTCATTGTAGAAACTCGTTATAACTTTAATAACACAGTCTCAAAGGTCCAATTCCTATAGCTCTTAGAACCGTAGTAGCAGAATATGATATGATGGCTTTTGCAGAATTAACCTGGGCCATTAACATAACACTACTATTACTGTTGGTACTGCTTGACAAAAGTTGAGGTGCGATTCCCATATCCCATAGTGGATATAATATAACAGGGTGATGGGGATGATGATGGTGGGCGATGGAGCGGAGCCCATCTCATTAATGGCAAAAAGGAAACGCAAAAAAATGAAATGAAAGAATCCAAAAAACAAAAAGGCAAAGATAGAGAAATAGAATGCTGCTGCTACTTCTAAGTAATGAACCGCTTTTACTAAATTCAGTCACTAACCCATTCATTCTTTTGCTCCCCACCTCAGCTCCTCGCTTTCCACTTTCCCTCTTTCCATTCCCCACCCAAACAAATAAACAAATATTTTGTCTTCCCATTAATCAAATACTTCTCCTAAAGACTCTCGAGTATTTTTGCTGCTCCTACTTGTTTACTCGAGTTTTTTTTTTTTCTCTTTCCTTTCTTTCTTTGTGTTCCCTGGGAATCCCATTTCTTCCTCATAAATAACTACTGCCCTCGCCTGATCTCTTACGAGTTCTTGGCTTTGTTAAGGAGCTCGAACATGGCATTTTTATGCAGATTCAAATGGGATCTCAATCTTGGTTGATTTCTTGGCTCCTGAGCTTTTTGATAATAAGGTGTCTTCCGTTTTCCTCTTTCTGTTGCTTCTATATACCCTTTTTTTTTCCCTTTACATGTCTAATACGTGCTTGTGAATATTGCTTAGGTTGTAATAACATTCATTTTTCCCCTTCGACTTTGGGATCTTTGGGAATGACTTTCTCTGTGTTATAGCTTTTGGGCTCTGTGGATCTCAAATCTCGGTCTCCTCAGCTGGTTTTCAGGTGTCGTGTGTTTTTAATGTCAATTCCCTTTCCCAAAATACAATTTCGATGGAATTACTTTCTTCGCATGCTGATGACCTTTTTTTGTTTTGTTTTATTTTACTTGAATTTTTTATGGCCTAAGAGAATTATTATATCACCTAAAGTTGCAGTCTTGCACTTCTTCTTTTTCCTTTACTTTTTTGGGTCTTGGAACTTTTCTTTTCTTTTTTTTTATAATTTTTTGGGTACAATGGAACTGAAAAAATCTCAATTCAGTTGAAAACATTGTTCTTTCAGACATCTGATACATCTTTTTAGATTGGGGTGCGATGGAGTGTGTGTGTGTCCTAGATGGCTATTACGTTTTAGATGAAGAAAAGGGCGGGGGGACATACTTTCTCGGAGTATTCTGATTTGTTCATCTTGTGTTCTGTAGGTGAGTTACTAGACCGGGTTTGAGAAGAGCAATTACGGCATTATGCTAAAAATTGAGCGCTTCGATGACTTTGTTGTTCTGATATGAGAAAATAAGACCATGTCTGAAAAATTATCTGGAGAAGAATCTCTTTGTCAAGACGTTGAATCCTTGAGCGTGTCAAAACGCCTGGTTAGAAGCGTCAGCCAGAAATTGAAAAGGAAGAACCATAGAGGAGAAGGGGAAGAGGACGATGACACCAGGGCTGTATCCTTGAGCTGTCTTACCCTGTATGGCAGAGGTGGAGGATGCAAGGTAGGTGCTGAAACTGGAGAAGAGTTTGTGGATTACGGAGGTAGAAGGCGGTCAACCAGTGAGGAAACTAAAGTATATGCAGCAATTTGTGGAAAGGAGGAAACAGCTGTTGATTGCTTCGCCTATGGGATGAAGGAGAAATTCTGGAGGAGAATAATAGGAGAATTTTACAGCTTAAAGCAGCTCCACATGACAGCATGAATGTGTTTCTCTTCCGATGACATTCTGGAAATGTGCTTGCTGAGACTTCCCCTTACGAGTCTCATGAATGCTCGTCTTGTGTGCAAGAAAGTGGAGGAGCTTGACATCAACGATTCGTTTCATGCATATGAGACGAGAAGGGTTTGTATCAGAGTCCATGGTTGTTTCTATTTGGAGTTGTTAAAGACGGTTACTGTTCTGGGGTGATACATGCCCTGGATGTATCGCTGAACCAGTGGCATAAGATAGATGCAGCAATTCTCAAGGGAAGGTTCTTGTTTTCTGTTACCAGCGTCCAGGATGATGTTTTTGTCATTGGAGGTTGTTCTAGCCTGACAAACTTTGGAAAAGTGGATAGAAGCTCATTTAAGACGCATAAAGGAGTTCTGGTGTTTAGCCCCTTGACGAAGTCTTGGCGCAAAGCTGCATCTATGAAATATGCTAGATCATCACCCATTCTAGGAGTTTTTGAAGTCGTCCAGACTGTTTGATCAGAACTCAGCAAAATAGATATGAAGAAGATTTTACCGGTCAAGGGTTGGTGTGTGTCTGATGTCTATGAGGATCCTCACAGACTCTCAGTTCGACGTCAATTTAGGCACTCTGTGGATGGAAATGATGTTTTGTGACAACCCATTCAAAGACAGCATAAATTATCAGGACAAAAAGGTGAAAATACATGTAAGATCACAAAAAGGTATGTAGTCATTGCTGTGGGAGGTCTTGATCTTGGGATGAGCCTTTAGATTCAGGGGAGCTTTATGATTTGTTTCAAATAAATGGACAGAAATCCCAAGGCTGCCTGTAGATTTTGGGGTTGCCTGTTCTGGTGTCGTTTGCAGCGGAATATTTTATGTCTATTCAGAAACTGACAAGCTTGTCGATATGACGAAGAAAGGGGCTATTGGGTGAGAATCCAAACCACGCCACCTCCTCCCGTGTTCACGAGTACTATCCAAAACTCATATCATGTGGTGGTCGTTTATTCATGCTCTCTGTCTCATGGTGTGAAGGGGAAGGTCAAATAGGCTGAACATTGATCTCTTAATGAGAACTTGTGCTACTATTGTGGTTATCGTAGTCAATAAAGCCTGATGATCAAAACACACACACACACACACACACAATCTGTAACTCCCCGACTCAGAACAAGTTGTAGCCATCCGGGAGGACAATGGATGGCCAAGAAAACGGGTGAATAAGGTGCAAAAACAACTTTTCTTATTGAAATGAGAAGCATAACGTATCAATTTAATGTTCTAATAAGCAAAAGACATTGCAATGGCTCAGCAAGTCCCCAACACAAAATTTTGATATCTAGCCCTGTTTCAATTGACAGCATCCTAGACCTACGCGAGATGAGGTGTGTCCTTCCGGTCAAGGCAGATCATAGGCCTCAGTCCGATCTTGCAAATCTTTAACTGCTATGTATGGTATCAGATATGTGGTAACCCCCCTGAACATTGAAGAACACTTGTTTTCAGAGGCATGTACACATCCAGTTCTTAAATTGCAAGCAAGATCTAATTCGGTAAATAATCTATTCTGGCGTAATCTAATCCGTCCAGATATCTTAAATGATCATTTCCTTCAGAGCCCTAGCAGCTTTTTCCTAAACCGGAGAGGCAGTCATAGTCTCACAAAAACCTTAAAAGAAAATTTTAAGTCAACAATCTAAAGTTGGAGCTGCTGCCAAAATACGTGCAAAACCAACCTTAGCATGAACTAAATGATGCAGGATCCAAACGAAAGCCATTTGTCCACAAGAGGTCCCTGAGATCAGCAGATTAACACAAAAAAGGAACGGAGGTCTTCCCCTCAACAATAATTCTTTATTGAACGACAATCATACAAAAAATAATCTTACATTCCAACTTCTATATAAGTACAAATATATTGTCCATTTGAAGACTAAAATCTGCAAAATGACATCAATAGGGTGTCTGATAATCACAAGAAGAAGAAAAAAACGGAAAAATTGAACACCCTCTACATATAAGAAAGAGAAAAAGATATTATGTACCTGCATTCTATGATGCTTAAAGAAAAACTCTACGACAACATGCATGCCAAATCCCTGACAATCATCAGCCAAACCTACATGTGTGTTTATCCTACATTTGGAAAGACACCAGAGAAGTTTGGAATCTTATCCACGTGCTTCAGGGCTCGCTCGGCAATCTGGCGTGTCCGATAATCACCATGCTGGAAAGCATCCACAAGTGCAGTACTTACATTAGGGTCACCAGAAATTTCATAGGCTATATCATCAGAGCGCAAAATTCGCTCAACTGCCCAAACAGCCCTCCTCCTCAGGTTCTCTGTCCGTTTCTCCAGTAACACATCAAGTATAGGCCTGATCCCTTCTGCCTCGCACAATACATGAACCCCTTGTTCAATGTCAACCCCATCATCCAACAAGGTGCACAATGCTGCAAGAGAAGCCTCAACCACCTTTTCATTGGTGTGGTCTAGGAGGGCAACTAGCTTCCCCACAGCTTGTCCTTCCAGGAGACAAAAGGTTTCTTTGAGCGAACATGTTCCCCTGTGTACTGTACACAATCCAGTTATGATAGTCGGCTTGCCTAAACAGGGGAAAATCGAGACACAAAACCCAGGACTTGGCAATTCGGGCAATTTGGTCAAGTTTTTTGATTCTTGAGATAAGTTTTCCAAAGCCAATGCAGAAACCATCTGAACATTGTCAAGCCCATTGGTCTGTAAAAGTTCTATGAAGACAGCTGCAAGATTGTGGTTCCGACAAAGGGCAATGGCATCCAGCTCATCAGCCAAGGCAAACGTGACCCTTGACAAAACCTTAACCAGACCTTCTAGGTAAGGAGTCATAAAGCGACTACCTCTAGTCTCCCTCTGCCGGATCCTAAGAATTCTTGAGTTAACCAGCTGGAATGCACCTTCATCTAGCATCTGCCGTGTAAGACCCATATCCCTTTCAGGAAGATCAGCTAAAAGCCCAACAGCAGCAGCTTGTTCCTCAGTTATACCAATATTTTCTGATATGATTTTGATTAGGCTACCAAGCTGGCCAGATGTTCCACGTAAGCAACTAGCTAGTTCTGGACCCATATATGGAGAAAGGTTCTGGAGAAGTTTTATGGAAGCCAGTCTTAAATCTTTTTGTGGAGCTTCAATAAACTGTACCAAACTTATTGTGGCACCAGAGCTTTTAATTGCAGAAACAACACTAGAAATAGTAATCGGAGAGTTAGTCAGCCCAACAAGCACCTGAAGAAGCTTACACTCTATGGCAGGGCCAGTGTTGCTTATAAGATGGAGGAGATTATGAATGATGTCCTCTGAAACCAGAGTTTGTTGTTCAGGTCCAACGGGAACAGAGTCAAAGTCATATCCTGAACTCACAACATTAGCAAGGATTGTTGCAGATACTTCCTTCAGTCGCATGGGCAGTTGGTGGGCACCAACAGTGAAGAGATCCTTGACCAGGGGGGGAAGTATACCAGCCTCTATTAAGATTCTGGCACTTGCATCGTGTGATGACATTTGATTTAGAGCTTTCAAGGCAGCCTCTCTTGATTGGATATTACCACTCTTCAAGATGTTGATCAGTGATAACCCAACTGTTCTAGCCACCAAGACTTTCACATCATTGTTAAGAACCAAGTCACCAAGAAATTCAGCCATAGATAGTTTGGTTTCTGAAGATCCTACAACAAACAAAACAAAATAAAAAATATGCAACTTGACTCATAGGCAATAAACACTACTGGGGGATACTGGTCAAAACACACAAAGGTTTACAAGCAGCAAAACAATCCACTAATTTCCCACCCTTTAGCCCAAGAAGTTTCCTTCTCTTTTTTTTTTTTTTTCGTGTTTGATTCTTACATTTGCATGAGCACATAGCTGAACACAGCTAAAACATATAGAACGTGCTGACAGCATCACAAGGGAAAAAGTTACAACATAAATGAATGATGGATGGTTCTTCAAGCAGGGCAGTCTATTTGTTATATCAACAGCATAGGATAGCAGGTTTAGCTTTATTCGAAATAAAAATGTAACAACCAAGCAGCAGTTGTTGGATGCTATCAGAGTTCAACTAAAGGACCTTCCTCCTTCAAAGTGTGTAGCAAATGTCCTGCCTAGAAAACTGCAACTGCAAACTTAGTTCACCAGGCTCATGGTAATTACATGCAAACCCTACTCTCCAAGTAGCGATTTTCATATGTCAAACTGATGCCCAATCCATAACATAGAACAACTTCATCCCTTTGTTGAGGTTCATTCTTAACAGTAAAAGAAACATCAGCCTAAAGAAAATGGTGCCACAGCCCCTATAATTGTACCTCTCAAAAGAAGGTAAACAGCCCAAATATTTTCAAGCAATATCAGATAAATGAGTGATGATTCCTTGAAGATGCTTACCTTCAAGCAGTAGTCTCAGTAAAGGCTGCAATCTACCATTTTCAGCCATTTGTCTGACATTATTCTCAGATTTTCCCAGATTCTCCAGAGTTTTATCCGCCATCTCAACAGCCACAATGTTCTCCGACGTGCTGCTTGCCATTCCTACTAAAATGAGAATTGCTCCATTAACTGAACCAATCTTTTCACATAAAGCTTCAGATTTGGAGAGCTCATATAGCAGAAGAACCGCTTCTTCTCTTTCTTTTGATTGTTCATTAGACAATAACTTCACAACTGTGCGTACAGTGTCCCCTTGAGCCATTATTTCCTGAAAAATTAGGGAAAATGTAAATAAACTAGATAAATAGCTTCTTGTGCAAGTCAAAAAAATATCCAAAATTGGTAACAAAACCTCTAAGAACCTTATTGTCAGAATCTTCTTCAACCACAATTCGAAGAGTTTCCAAAGCTTTCAACCGAGTTCTTCGAAAGCTACTCTTTAACATATCAATAATCATAGGTATCATCTCTTCATTACGGATTACATGCTTATTTGATCGGCTTTGTTGACATATATATTGGATAAACTTCAAAGCCTGCAAAATATCTTGCTCTGAGCTGCCCGAAGTCAATGATCTCCGAGCCATATCAAGTTGAACAGCTTCATTCCTAGCATTCCATTCTTCAATTGTGTTCCGCAAGGCTATACTTGGATTCAGTTCTGTGCTCCGTAACTCTCTTTGAGTTAATGGGCAAACTAGCCTTCTTCCAGACTCTTTACATTGTTTGAACCATTTTTCAATGGCTTCTCTCTCAAAAGTTTGCCCATTCTCCAGTGTTACAGGATCCCGCATTACCTGTTTTGTCAAAGGGCATAGGAATGCATCATAGATGGGCTCTATATGTAGTCTGTCAAAATGGTAGCTATCATCTGACTGGCTTGCCAGGTCATTACCTCCATCCCAGCTTCCGGCCATCAAAAAATCACAAGAACCTGCCAAGGAATCAAACTTAAATCCCTTTTTCACGAAAAAAGAATAAATTACAGTCACAAAAAATCTCATTAAAATTAACATAGTCCTCTACAGAAAATGTTCCGATGCAGACAATGTAGAACAGAACTTAAAAGGAGAATGAACCATAAACACGTGTCTGAAGGAGGCTGCCAAGAATGTGAGGCAGTCACATTAACTAGTGTCATAAACGCAGCACGACGTTACTTGTACTACAACCCATATGACTCGCTGAAAAACATAATCCAAGTAGCTTTTTTCCCTGCTCAATCCAAGCTAGCCATCATCCTATCTATGACTTTCCATCAATCAAGTTCAATTGAAAGAAAAAGCAGGACAAGAAGACGAAAAAGAACAGATTTCATTAACCTCCGGTCATTCAAAAACTTAACATGAGTGAGTATCGCAGAGAGCTTCCAATAGGAATATCACATCTTATCCAACTTAGTTCCATTTAGTAGTCGCCCGAAAACAAGGCAACTCATTGACCTTAGTAACAAATCACCAACTGAAGTACTCAATTGCTAATAGCAATTTCCTTCGCCACTTACATTTATGCATCCCTCCCACGCCATAGACACATCATCTCTTAGTCATTTGTAAAACACAAAAAATAAAAAAAGCTCAGTTCACCACATCACCCACGAACGTTTGCCAAACATTTAATTCAATAGAACGTTTAGTTCAATATGCTATGAGAATAAAACCATGGCCATCTGCTAACGTAACCGCCATTTTTAGAAATGTAGCTAAATAAATCTAAAGTTTTGCATCCACTAAAAATGCGGCCCGAGTTTTTCCTTTTCTGTTCTTTTGTTTTTTTTTTTTTTTTTGCCCCCTGAGAATAGTAGTAAAAACTAACGAATTGCAGCCCATCAATCAAATAAAAAAGCAACATAATTATCCACTTGAGACATCTCCTAAAATGCAGTGAAAACCATAAGTACTAGTCCATGAGTCCCAATTATCATACCACTGATATACATGCCAAAAAAAAGAAAAAGAAAATACTACCCAGATAAACATCCAAATACTTACAGTGTCAAAATTGTTGAAGCAGTTGAGGGAGTGGTTGCTTGGGGATTTCCAAAATCAACCCGGCATCAAAAAAAATGTGATTTTTTTCAGATCGAGTAAAGTACAAAGTAGAAAGCCAGCAATTCGGATTCTTCCATGAACGGTTATTTCAGTTGGGATTAGGGTTTGTCTAAGTCCATCGAGGACGGAAACTGGGCAGAAGAAACAGGGGAGGGGTAAGATGGGAACACAAACACAAATTGGAGACAAAAAAAAAGTTGGCAGCTGTTGATCAAGGAAACCACCAACAACTAAACTACAAATCACCCAAATTTCTTTTCTTTTTTTTTTTTTTTTTGGTAGTGATGATCAATTATTGTTATCTCTATATATATTATCCCACACCATCGAGTTTTTCTTCTGCCTTTTATTATATTTTCGGTGTAGGATTTATGAAAGATTTAAAGGGAAGGTTGACTTGGTGCCAAGGCAAGGCAGCTCGTTTTAGTCATCGCTGGGTCACCGTAGGCAGCAGCTGTACTACAACAAGGCATAGCTTTCGTTGTCCCTATAATTATTACTGTTTGAAAAATGTCGCTTTCTGCAAAATTACCGCCAATATTACCCAACTTTTCCAATATTTACTTAATGATGATTCCTTTTAAAGTTTCGACTTGAATGAGTGAACCACAAGAAAATAGTTACTAAACTATTTAATTTGGCATGATTCTGTTAATTTCTATTTTTTTTCCTTTTTGGTTAAAAAAAATCATTCAATCCTTTAAAACAAACTTTTCAAAACATGGCCATTCAGTCAATGCAAGATAATAAAAAGTTACTCGTGACATATACCGGTAACTTTTTAATGGTAAAAATATATTGAAAATCTTTGAGTTCGAGAGGCAATTTGAAAAGAAAAAAGTTATCTTGGAGCCAATATACTAATATCAAAGAATTAATTACTTTATTTAAATTACACAAAAGTCCCTAATCTATGCCTAATTTTCATTTTCCTACTCCATCATCCAATCTTTGCCGCCTCCCTAACTCGGTACTTTCGCCTCTCCATCACCCCTACCCTTTTCCATTCCCCACATGATCCTTTTTTCTCGATCATTTCCCTTTGCTCGACACTCTTTTCTTGTTTTCATTTACTCTAATCTCATTTTTCCTCCTATCAAATCTTTGGTGAGAGGGAGAGCAGTTGAAAGGGCGAAGAGGAGGGTGAGAAGTAGTAGTTTGATGGAAAAAGTGAGGGCCGCGAGAGGCAAGGCAGGCCAAAGTAGGCTTGGAAGTAGGGGTGGCAAGGACCTTTTTTTTTTAAATTTATTCCAATTCTATTTTGTAGGTTATCTTGCAATTCTATCATCTAATCCCTACTTGTACAGGTCATTATATCCTCTTTTGGTAAATGCAAATTAGGAGTTCAAAAATTGACAAAAAAAAAAAAAAAAAAAGTCCAATGCCAAACCCCCCACCACTCTCTGCCTTTTATATATGGCAAGTACTGATATTTGTGTAAACCTATTTATTTGGCAATAATTTTATTACTTGGGAGATAAAATGGCACACTTGACGATGTTTCTTTTTCCTTTCTGTTAATATATGTGATGATTCCACAAGCTACCTATAAATTTTGAGGGCCAACCGAACATAATTAAACCAAGTCAAGCTAATTGTCTATTTTTGTCACCTATATTACATTGAGTAATCGTTTAGAATCTCCTAAGTGCGTTACATAACCCATTTCCTGTCTAGTGACTCCATTGGTGTCCAATTTCATGTTTGAGCATCGGAAGCACAACAATGTACGGTTAAAATAATTGATCACAAATTGTTCAGTCGCACCTTATACATTATGCACACTGCAACAATCAAAGTAGCATTCCTATGCCAAATACATTTGGTCTCCCTTTACACGAAACTCTATGGCATGATGGCAAAATTGAAAAAACACAATTACTGAGGAATACACGAAAAATGTAAACAAGTAAATACAGACAACATCAAACAAAGAGAAAATACCCCCTAGCAAAACATCAAACAAGAGAAAATACAGACATCATCAGAAAAAAACAAGACACCAGTACCCCCCTAGTAAACAAAGATAACCAAAAACTTTCCAAGGAGTACTGTGCTCTCATCTACTGCCTGTGGGCAACTCAATAAAGACAACTCTGCGCAAGACAAGAACAGCAACCATTCTTCCGGGCCAAATAGCATAAAAAGTTGTCTTTACGTCTTAGAAAGAACTCCAGCTTTCAGATCCTTTCTTAGGAGTTTGACTATCCAATGAGACCTTGAATGGACCATTTGAACCAAAGGGATCAGAGTCATCAAATGAGAATCCTCGACCATGGTCATAACTTCTAGTGCTGTTTATCGAGTCAAACCTAGTGAGGGTTTCCCTTCGTGGAGAACCGCGATCTTGCATACTGAAGGAATCGTACCTTGAGAAACTGTCAAAGAAGGGATCCCCTGCCCCAGCATTGATTCCTTGTGGTGAATTTCCAGCCCTCGAAAGTGGAGTCCCTGGAACTGAATCCTCAAAGCCAAATGGGCTATTCTTCTGGAATGAACTATCCGCCTGGGGTGATTCGGTCCTTGAAGGGCTTCCACCAAAATCACTAGAACCAAAAAAATACTTCTCAGAAGGCTTCTCATGATTTGAGTCCTGCAATAAGATTCAGTTACAGAGGCAGATATCAGTGCAGAAGTGACATCGATGTCAAGGCATTCAATAGGATGCTGTCGCCCAATTCATCAAGTAACATAAATGGATAAAACGTCATAGAAATGGTTGTACATGGTATAAAAGTTTGCATCAAGGCATTCTTGAGCCGACAAATTGTATCTCTAAGTTTAAAAATGGCTGAACTGGATTGATAACTAATGTTAAAAAATGCCTGAACTGGATTGATAACTAATGTTAAAAAATGCCTGAACCACAACATGTACTGCTTATTGAGTCCAGAAGCCCCCAAATTGACCTAAATACCAAGTATACAGTGTCCATTTTAGTTGGACCATTTACTCTGAACACCGCTAAAATTTTCTCTTCAAAGACACTTTGATCCAAGTTCCTCTCAACCATGTTGAGGAGGACTTATCTAAGCATGGGACAAAATGAATTTTCACACACCATAAATGAGAATATAAATGTTTATGGATGATACAACTGGCTACTTCTCCAGTATATTGAACTTGATTAGGAAGGAAAAAGAAAAGGCATTTCTAATTTTCTACACACCTTAGCACTGAAGCCCCATACGGAATCTACATCATCATTATTGTCAAAGGTGCCCCATGCAGATTCGTCATAGCCTCTGTCCACCCAAATGGAGAGAGAGAGAGAGAGAGAGAGATCAGAAGCCCATAAAGAAAAATAGGAAGCCAGAAATTACAAAACATGGAATCTTCATGGCAAACCTATACCTATGAGATTCGGTATCAGCCTCAAAGATCTTCCCAAAATGGTTATCAGAATAATCATGCGATGGACTTTCAGATGCAGTTTGTCTTGCTGGACTACTACGTGGGCTTTTTGATTCGTCTTCACTATGAGTATACAACGAATCAGTCTCAAAAGCACTAATGCCTTTAGTAAATGTTCTTTCTGACTTATCAGCGTTTGACATTGAATCAGGGGAAAAGCTATCTGTTGGAGAAGAATTTTCATGCTGAGGAGATGTTGGCTTAGTGTTTGCAGAAACAGCAACATCAAATGAAAAGCCTGCCAATAAAGAAAAGGTGAGTGAATATCTACAAGATATTATGAGCACTCAGTGGAAAAGAAACATGAAAAATCCCTTAACAAGATATAAAGATACCAACCTTCATCTTCAAACTTATCCCATTCTTCATCCCACACAGCTGCTATCTCTGGAATGCCAGGTTGCCACCCTAAATTTAAGCACAAAAGGCAGCAAGTTAAAAAGTCACTAAGGACAAAAAGGCCTATAAGAAGAACGAAAAGATCAACTCAGAAAGACCTGAGAGAAAAAAAAATCTAATTTTTCCCAAAATTAAGCCAATTTGTGAAGAAAACGCAATAAGAATATCTTTGAGCCCAAATGAAAAGTAAAGTAAACAAAAAAAACTACTCCCAAACCCTTTTGATCTACAATTTCATCAACAGACTTCTTAAGGTGCCATAAGGCAGGAATCTGAATCTCAAAATAGCACCATGAAAAAATTCTGGGACAGGGGACGAGCACATGTGACTGCTTAAAAGTTTCCATCCCGAACCACAATAAAGTAGATGGAATTATTGCTCCCAGTGTACTCTCAAAAGTTATCCTGCCAAGCAGATGGGCTTTAATTTAGAGCTTTGGTGGGACCAGTCAATCCAATTGAAAGAGGCATGAAGCAGCTTCCAATTGATGCTTGAAAGTCAAAATTGTGAGACTTTTTACCACTTTAATCTACAGATATAGAAAACCACTAACACAAATTGCTTTAATATCTTCCTTTGATGAGAAGCAAGGTTTCTTGATCATCAAATAATGACTTAAAAGCTCGTTGTACTTTGGGTTTGCTAGCACCATTTTTCCCATGACTCCAATACGAATGATAAAAGGCCTTTATCAGTTGTTATCTTTTCTGTCTTTATGTCCAATATTTGATGTTGCACAAATGTTCACTTCATAGTTGCTGGAACTGATAGAAATGAAGCCCATTCAATTTGAGTACTTCCCAATTAAAAGATATGCAAATAGCAACTAACAGAAAAAAGAGACATCACAAGTAGAGGATGGAAATACCAGGAGGAAGTTCAACTAAGGTGGTTGACTTCACTTTTAGACCATGTTTCTTGCAACGTTCTGTTATAGCCTTCAATAGCTCCTCAAGATCTGATTGTATGCGGTCGGCCCTAACCTATAGAAGCAGAAAATGCACTAAGTTGCATAAAAATTATGTTGCATCTAAATTTTTCTTACTAGAAATTTGCTGTAAAAATCACCTGAAGAATACCATCTGCACTGCCACCTTGTTCCATCTTGATAATTGCTTGATGTAATTCTGTCTTCCTCTCCTGAAGATACATTAATTGAAATTTTCGATCACTTGATGAAATTTCAAAGAGAACCAAACGTTGAGTGACTTTAAATGGAGTTATGCCTTAATCTCTTCAAGAAACACTCAGAAAATTAAAGAAATAGCCACATGCAAGTAAAGGAAATAATAACAAAAAGTCAATTATTGGATGAAAAAAAGTTGAGATGCAGAATCGATGTGTATCAGTAGCAACTACAATGGCGTAGAATAAATGAGGCCCAGGAGGAAGCAAGTAAATGAGTGACATGATAAACATTCTGGGAAATTCCCCACACTAGGAGATTTTGGTATAACAAGCCGAATGTGTGGGAGTTGAAACCAAGCTCATAGGGCAATAAAACTAGAAATAGAACCAAAACAAGACCAGTTGTATCCTCAACCTGGATATCACGAAATGAAGCCTCTTCAAT